TTTTTCTGGATGATTATATTAAATTTGAACAAAAAACATGTCTAATTAATTAAAATCATGAAACTTGTTTAATTTAACAGCAATTTAGTCCTATTAAAAGTTTAACAAAAATTACATTCTTAGGGCCCAAATTCTGTGCTTTCTTTTTTTTTATTTTAATTTTTCTGTATTCCATTTTAATGGTTTAATCAAAAACATATCTAATTAATTGAATTCATAAAAACAACTTAATTTATTAATTTGTATACAATAATAGGGCCCTATGAAATTTTAATTTTATTTACTTTAGAAATCCTGTGTTGTGTATTTTCATTTTTCTGGTAATCAAATGAAGGCAAAAACACGAATCTCTCTTTTATTCCAATGAAAATTAAACAAACCCTTTAATTTTTGTACATTCAAAATGCTACACAGCAGAAGTTTAGTGTGTAACGAGCAATGTCACGGAATTTGTCAAATATTGAATGAATAAATCAAATGCAATTCAGTACACTTCAATCAAACCGCGATATGGACTAGTGTAAGTGAATATTAAATGGCAAAAATACTATTTAGCTACTACAGACGACAACCGCGAGCGTTGCGCGTGCTTCAATAGCAAACTAGCAAACGAAACGGGCATCTGCGCCGTTCATTTCGTCACATTCCGCGTTACACAGTAAATTCTGTTTTTATGAATAGATTCCGGGATTCCGTCCCCATTTTCTACATCGCCCTACTTTTGCTAAGAAACACGTTCAACGCGGACGCACAGACGGTTGTCGTGGTAATGAACACCACAGCAACCACTTGTGCGTCAGCACTGAATGCGCATCTCGCATATAAAAAGCATTTTAGGGGACCCTTGGCTTTTGGGGGCCCAAGGCGGTCGCCTACCTTTGCCTAATGGTTAAGTCCGCCTCTGGTTGCCTCACGTGGATTAGGTCAGTATTTTCCAAATGACACACCTTAGTGTCCTCTCTTAAGAGCCAACAAGTTTCACTTTTAAAGAAAGTGCTTTGCTTTCTTTAACTTCTTTATGCATGAGTTTTTCTCGCCTAAAGGTGGAGTCTTTGTGGCAGGGCCTAGGCATGACAGCTCCAGGCCAACAGAGGGGGAAGGAGGAGTATTGGAACTTGGTGACTGGCTGCCACCCAGTCGCATAGAGAGGTGACTGTGTCCAAGCTGAGCTCTGTGTGCCAGTAATCTTCAATGAGGCAGTGTGGCTAAGCCTTGTTATAACTCGGTTATATATACATCTGTTCTCTGTCCATGTTTTTTTATACCTTTTAAGTACACCAGTTCTCGAGCCATGTTCCATCTTGAATTATCCACAAAAAAAAGGCTTATTGCTGGTTTTACCATTTTGCCTTGCATGCATTTTGTAACAGCACTGAATTGCAAGACATTTGTTTGACATTTGGGTAGATTCTTTCTGTTCTAAGCTTGTTCAAGCATGGGTTGTTTGCAAATGTTAAAAAAAGAGAAAAGCTTATCAGATTATTCGCTTATTTTTTCTTTTTCTTTTATACAAAGCACTGGTGTTTATGAAATGGAGAAAGCAACGTTTATTTTCTACATTCCACAATTGGTGACAACTGGCACATTTGTAGAGGAGCTCTGGGACGCTTGTAGACAGTGGAGCAGAAAGCTTTATTTTAAATAAAATGCTCAGCTACATTTTCCAAGCTTGATGTTCCTCCCTCGCCTGCGTTTTTTAAAAAGTCATGTCAAGACCTGCCAACGAGAGACATTTTCTCAAGTGAACACTGGCTTCTGGGAAGATCTTGCCTAGACGAGACTGTGATGAGGGATATGATGACGCTGGTCTTTGATAGCTTGGATACTACTAGGCCTCTGTTTGTTTTTGACTATTTTTCGGCTTTGTGGGTGCCCTCAGATTAACACTGGTCTATTGGGTCTGGGCAAGACTAAGCAGTGCGGCCTTTATTACCAAGCTTCTAATAAGTGTTGTGCTGAGAAAGTACTTTTAGAACCAAAAGCAACCCTGCGGTCCTCAATCAGCACATGAGGAGGCAACTGTGCATATAGTGGCCCTACTGCATTAGAAGCATCTCGATGTCACTTAACAGTTTGTAGGGAGTTCGCTGCATTGGGAAAGAACTAGTGAATGCATACTCCTTAATGGTAAGACTGATCAACAAACTAAAATATTCTACTTTAAAAACGGGAGCGTGGAAAGCATTTTGGTTCGTTGTCCTTTTGTTTTTGTAAATGGAGTGTGCATTGTTTCTCTTCCCAATGTAGTCTTCCCATGGAGTCAGAAACTGTTATTTGTTTAAATTTATCCATTAATTTTTTTTTTTTTCAGCCCAGATTTTTGTGTTTTATGTATTCATTGCTAACTTGTTTTTTTGTTCTGTTGTGGTGTGCAAAATCTTGCTGCGTTCCTTTTTGCCACACTGCAACACTTTACAGATGTGGAAGATGTCAAATTTGTCATCAATTATGACTACCCTAACTCATCTGAAGACTATATTCATCGCATTGGAAGAACAGCGCGCAGTCAAAAAACAGGCACAGCCTACACTTTCTTTACTCCCAACAACATGAAACAAGCCAACGATCTCATCTCTGTCCTCCAAGAGGCAAACCAGGCCATCAACCCAAAACTGATCCAGATGGCAGAGGACAGAGGAGGTGAGGTTGACCGACATAACACAGAATATTTTTGAAATCTGAAATTAAAAACATGTGAATTACCCTTTTTTTCTCTCAATTTAAAGGTCGTTCCCGTGGCAGTCGCAGTGGCTATAAGGACGATAGTCATGATCAGTATTCTGGTGGGGGTAAGAGAGATTTCAATAGTTACAGAGATAGGGATAGTGACAGGGGTTATAGTAGTGGACCAAAGGTGCAGAGTGGAGGCTATGGAGGCAGCAGCTATGACAAAAGTAACAATAACAGCAGTAGCTATGGTAATGGCTATAGTGGCAATGGACATGCCAGCTATAATACAGTGAACTCAGTTGTTGCCTTTGGAAATCAAAACTTCCCAAACCAGTCATTTCCCGGAAACCAGGCTCCAGCACAGAATGGGATAAACCACCCACAGTACCTGTAGGTGCCAGATACGGTTTGATGTCTTTTATTTTGAAATTGTCACTTCCAGTTTGTTACGTCATTTTGTATAGGTGCATATTACCTGTTAGTTTGGATGTGGATATTATGGAGGAAGGGGGTGAGTAGCTGGGACGCTCACTTTCTGTTGACCGTTTCACTTTGTTTATTTAAATTTTATTTGGTTTATCTTTTGTTTTCTATCTTACCGTCTTCATGCAATGTGTTGCTGTTCATTTCTATATTGTAATTAAAACCCTTTGTGATCGAAACGCGTCATGGATGTATTCCCACTACTTAGCCCCTTAGCGGGTACTGGCTGCCGCTTTAGTACCCATTTAATCCTCCTCAACCACCCCAGCAGCCACCACAGCCCATGGTGCCCTACCCCATGCCCCCTTCTTTCCCCCAGTAGAGAACAGTAGTTACTTCTGCTATTGATCAGACAAAATAATGAAGTGACTTTGTCAATAACACTGATATTGTCAACTCAAAGAAAACATCTTGGAGCGCTACTTGCTGAAAGGACCTCCGTTTAATAGTCCCAGAAGGTGCTCTTTGGTAGGGTTCAAAATTATATCTATAGAAACTACGGATCCAAGGCACTTCTTCCAGTTCCAAAATGTTAAAAAGCCTTTATTCAAACATGGCTCACTCTAGAAACATTAAAAATGACTAGAACACTGCACACTGATGCATTTCGGCCATCCAGCCTTTCTCAGAGTGTGTCAAGTACAAAATTAGTCAAAGGTGTAGATATAATCAGTTGCTCAATAGAAATGGGAGAAACCAAAATACTCATTGATATTGTATCTGGGGGACATTAAAGTATATTTACTTGGCACTATGTTGATGTTTTATATTTTAATTATCTTTGGACAATAAAATGCTATGAATTAAAGGAAGATGTTGTTATGGTCACTCATGCTGTATAGTGTACCTGGATGTGTCGAATATGAGAGGGTAAGCCCACACCAGAAGCCCCTGGTATACACATATGGGTTGCTTCAGTGAGGTTTGAGAGATTGTTTTAAAATGTATGTTTCAAAAAAGTTGTGTGAAATTTAACAAAAAATATTAAACACAAAGATGGAATTGTTTTTGTTAACATTAAATATCCAAAATTTCAGTTAGTAATGTAGTCCTAGGTCAGGGGTTATATTTAGATATTTAGATGACCGAAAGACTGTTGAGCATGGCACATAATTCTTCTAACACATTTCTAATATCTATTACTGCATTTATCTTTAACAATATTAATATCACCAATAAATATATCACCACAAGTCATTAACTGGTTGTTGGTCAGCGTTAACAGAATGTGCAGAATTATGTAATAATGATACAACTTTACTTGGGATTGCGTCAAAAATAACAGCATACAGTCATGGCCAAAAGTTTTGGCAGTGACATAAGTTTTGTGTTTTGCAAAGTTTGCTGCTTAAGCTGTTGTGGTATTCATTC